CTTTGGAAATCTATTGTCTGTACAGTCCACAGGTTGAAACCCACTGCCATGAACTACTGTAACTATTATTCTTATCTACTGTATATTAACTACTGTTAGCTTAATTACACTCTTTTCATAGGAAACAATTTACATTAATGAAATAACAGAATTTTTAATTAGAAAATCCAGTGCACTAAAACAAACCCTGCTGTTACACATTCACGCCTCAGTTTCACAATTTTCATCGTCTGTTAGCTCAGAGTTTGGGAGATGTTCAGTTAAATTATAAGAAATCTTTTTGTGCAATCTTTGTTTACTGTTTTGAGTTCCAGCTTAAATAGACACATGTATCCCTGGCCAGGGCCGGTGCAACCCATTAGGCGACTGCCTGGCGCTAGCATTTGGGGGGCAGCATTTCGGGTCCTTCAGTGGCGACTGCGGCAGCTGGATCTTCAGCCACCCCGGTCGTCTTCAGCATTTAGGTGGAGGGAGCTGGGGCAGGGGGATGCGGGGAGGGCTGCCTGCAGCAAGTAAGGGGGGGGCAGCATGCAGGGGAACTGCTCCCCACCCAAGCTCACCTCTGCTCCACCTCCTCCCCTGAGCCCGCCACCCCGCTCTGCTTCTCTCCCTCCCAGGCTTGTGGCGCCAAAGAGCTGATTGGTGCCACAAGCCTGGGAGGAGGGAAAAGTGGAGCGGCAATGGCGTGATCGGGGAGGAGGTGGAGCAGAGGTGAGCTGGGGCGGGGAGCTGCCGTACAGCTCCCTGGGACAGGGGGAGCTGCCGCAGGGGGGGCACCTCAGGACGGAGGGGGGAGTGGGGAGCTGCCACGGGGGAGCACCTTAGGGTGGGGGGGCCGGAGAGCTGACACAGGGCTCAGGGAGGGGGGGAGCACAAGGTGGAAGTTTTGCCGAGGGCGCAAAACATCCTTGCATCCTTCCTGTCCCTGGCTGTGAAGTCTTGGTTTCATGACTGAACAATTATCCCTCTGCTCATTTCTGGCTTACAGTCCCGTTGTGCTCTGACAATCTCTCCATTCCTGTCATTCACCTTTTATACCTGAGGGTGTTGTCCAGATGAGTTGTTTTACAGTCCTTAGTATTTTCTTCTTTTCACCTCCTGGTGCTTTGGATCTCCAACTCCAAGGCCATCAATAACGCGCTATCCAGACCATGTCAGACATGGGAACGTCCCGTTATGAGATTCTGGGGCCAAATGGAAAGGTGTGAGAAAATCCTCTCTTTAGAAACCACGGGATACTGTTCAGAGTCAGATGACTTAGAATTTGGAAAAAAATTCTCCCTCCTACACACTCAGCTCTCTATGAAAGGACCCCAGGCTCCATCCATGTCCCTGACCAGCCCTTTCCCTATTTTCCTTCACAGAGAAATACACAAACCGAGAGGCAGAAGATTATGTCTGAATTTCAGCAACTGCGGCAGTTCCTGAAGGAACAAGAGCGACTCCTGTTGGCTCAGCTGGAGAAGCTGGACAAGGAGATTGTGAAGATACAGAATGAAAATGTCAGTAAAGTATCTGAGGAAATTTCCCGTCTCAGTGACCTGATCAGCGAGCTGGAGGGGAAGTGTCAGAAGCCAGTGAGTGAATTGTTGCAGGTGAGACTGAGTTAGAAATACTCCAGATCCCAACACAGGGACAAGACTGCTCCTAAAACATGGGCACGGGAGTCCAGCAGTCAAAGATCACCGTGTAACTCGATGTGTATTGCAGAGATGTGAATAACTACCATTTTTAAAAAGTTACAGACACTTTGATGTAAAAGGTGGAAAAGCCTCATTAGCTCAGCTAATGCATGGTCCTGGGGCCAGAACACAGCCTCTTTCCCCCATAGTTGCTAAATCCCTTCTTCTGGTATTCTAAGTGTGTCAGGTGGGACTGAAATTCCCTCTCTCTATTTCTCTCCTCTAGGATGTCAGAAGCACCTTGAGCAGGTACGTGGCTCTCTCTCACTCCTCCTCACTCTTCTCAATGCTGGGAAAGAGCTTGGAGATGCTGTTACCACTGCTTCCCCCCACGGCTTTACAGCCAAATGTGTGGGGAAGGTCATATTTTGGATACAAATTTCTCTGATCAACTTCATCTTGAGGTTCTCACCCTTTTATAGAAGACTCTGGAATTCTCCATTCATTGGGAAGGACTGACCTCAAGTATTTCCTAGAGATGTCACATCCCTGGGGGACTGGCTGCCTCAGGATTGTGGGGATGGAATATGGGCCTGTCACTGCTGTGGCTCTGGTTACCATTAAGGCCAGGGCAGCAGTGGTCAAGACTCTTCCCCACCTGAGGACTGTTTGGAGACCTGTGTGGAATGAGCTGGGGAA